CCGCCGTGCTTCATCATCATGATGCTGCCGCCGCCATGCTTCATCATGACGCTGAAAAGCTCCACTTCTGGTCTCAATTAATTGACATTACTTTGTAGAAATCTGTTTTCACTCAAGTTAAGCATGATTTCACATTAAAGGAAATGAGAATCCTTCCCAGGGCGGTGTATACGGTCTGAGCCGCTGGAACAGTGCGTCTACGTGGACATTCAGGTGGGTGTAGTTACCTGTGTGAGTGCGTACGTGTCTCTTGAGGTCGAAGGTGTCGTTGAAGCCTTTGCTGCAGAAGCTGCACAGGTGTCTCTTGGTCTCGTTGTGACATTTGACGTGTCTGTTTAACATCCGCTGGTACTGGAAGGTTTTCTGGCAGATCTGAGAGCAGCAACAACACGCTGACGTTACATTACAGCATCACACAGTTCAGAAATCACAGGAGCCCGCTGGAGTTCTGAACAAACAGGAGTTCTGTTGGTGTTCAGCGTTTACATCCACAAACATGAGTTACAATCCCATGACAACGCTTCAGAACCTTCACCTACTGACCAGAGTTCTACCTTCAGACTGTGAATGTTCCAGAGGTCCAGGTCCTTCAAGTCCACAGAGGAGGGTCCAGATTGATCACTTTAATGGACTTTTTCCATCATTTCTGAGCCTCAGAACTTTAACACAACTTCAGTTTAATGTCTATGACATAGAGTCATAGAAACAATCACTGGTACCCTGGATGTGGTTCTGGTTCTGATCAGAGGAAGCTTTACAAAGTGCATTCTGGGTAAATGTTCCAGGCTCATGTCAGCGTGTGTGATGCTGGTTGGTCAGAACCAGTTCTATGGAAGGACCGTTTTAACTGCTGTAACTCTGAAACTATCCATCGTATGAAGGTAGAACTTTGCATGACTTCACTAAATATACCGACGTTCTTGTGGATAAAGAATCAGCTGGTTCTCAGGAGGTCGGGGGCAGAACCGATTTAGATTTGGCTGATTTATATACAACCTAAAGCAGCTCTTTAAAAGCAGCTCTGAACTGTGTTTGAATCACAGCTGGACCCGAACCTGCAGTGATCTTTAACGTTAGAAAGAGAAATAATGAGTGAATCATTTTAAAGCTGAATGATGTTTGTCTAAGGTTCAGTTATCAGACCTTTCTTATTAAACCCGTTGTCCTACCTGGCACACAAACTCTCCCGTCGTCGCTGTGGACGCACTTTGACTTTGACCTGCTGATCTGGTCACCATGGAGACCGTCTCCACGGTGGCAGAGGTCGTCGTCGGGGCAACTGGCATCACATGTGTGGCCGAGAGTGGTTGAGTGGGAATGGGAGGAAGATTTAGAGGGAGAGGAGACGGATCGGGAGGCAACTCGCCGGTAGTCACCTGTCAGCAGAGAGGGAAGGTTAGTTTAAATTATTGGAACTTAAATCATTTGATCATTTCTGTGTTTTCCTAAATGTTTACCACTTTGGGTGCAACAGGACTGAGACTGAACCCAAAACATAAATCAACATCTGACAGTCTGAGCAGGAAAAAAGCATTTTTTTTAAATATTAGAAAGAAAAGCTCATAAGTGTTTTATTTCACATTATTGTCTCAACAGTTTTAAATAATTAGTGAGTTTTTAAAAAGTGAAAAACACCAAAGCTCACGTGTTTAAGTGCCTCTTTTGTGTCGCCAACAGAACAAAACCCAAAGACTTCACATTTACACTCATACAGACCCAGTGTCGAACACGACCTGAGTGTTTAAAGCTTCACTTTCAAGAAAACATTTAGATTGAACCCAAAATGAAACGAGTGTCTGACCATCTGAGATGGACGATGAAGCTGTTTGCTAAACACATCAGTCACATTAAGCCAGTTAGCACCGGCTGAGGAGTGCAGCATCTGCAGTCTCCCTCCTGCTATGAATAATGCACTAAATGAAGGATCAGTGCTGTGAGAACCCTCGTGAGCTCTGAATGGTCTCATCAGATTTACAGAAACAGTCAGATTTCTCTGACAACAGGAAACACCCAAGTCCTGATTCCTTGCCTTGATTTTGGCCCTGACGTACGTGGAGCCGCCCTGCGCCCTCCTCCGGACCTCGGACCTCTCCTCGGCCGGGCTCCGGGGGCGACCCAGGACCGTGCTGGACGGCAGCTCGGCGTACGTCTGCGTGTCCGAGTATTTGGCGAGGCAGAGCGGCGCCGTCTCGGCCGGACTGGCCTCGGCCTCCATCATCAGGACGGACGGAGGGAAGATGGAAACTGCAGGCAGAAGGAGAGAAGCAGTCAGAGGGCGTGTTCTCCTCACAAACCTACAAGAACTCATCATCTGGACGTGTCCAGTCTCTGTTAGCTCTGGTTCTGTTCTCCACCACCTCGTTAGCACAAACATCAGCTGCTAATTAGAGCCTAATGACACTGTGAGGGCAGGATTAACTTTAAACTCTGCAGAGCTGAGCTGAGCGGCCTGAGCTTCATCACGACTCAGCGATTTATCCGTTTATTATTTATCAGCTTCAACGTATCGATCAAAGACCTGACAGAGCGAGCCTGTTGTGCTGCATTGTGGGAAACGCAGCTGGTGTTTGTACAGTCTGACCTTTAGCGGGGGCTTTGTGGAGTTTGCATCATTAAACCAACAGAGAGCTTTTTAAAGAGAGAATGTTTTCATGACTCCAGTATTCTGATGAGTGAATGAGAGTCGAGGCAGTTTGGTGGTTTTACACCTTTATTCACCTCCAGCGCAGGACTCACAGACGGAACCGTAGCTTGAGAAGGAAGACGAGTCTCTGTTTCAAAGGCAGGAGACGAGGTTTGAGGCTCGTGTGAGACCAAAACCAAACCTGCAGCACTGAAGCGTTTCACAATAGAGCCGGCTGCATATTTACACAGGCTCTCAATTAGCAAACACGCAGCGTTCAATATGAGCCAGAGTGTGTTTGAGCTATTGTTAGTGCGACTGATTGCACGGAAGCACACACACACACACACACACACACTCGGCCCTCAGCACCACAGTTGGACCGGTCCGACCAGACCGTCCTGCAGCTCCAGATCTTCCTCAAACAATCCACCTCCGCAGGGTGAGGAGGTGTGTGCACGAGCACGACACCACAGACAGACTGAAGCTGTGCAGGTGCAGCTCTTTGTCAGTCTGTGTGTTCAGGTAACCCAAAGGCAGGTGTGGCTCAGCGGAGGCAGCCAATCAGCTGAGCCAGTCGGGTAAAGGTGAATGCAAACGAGATAAAAATAAAAAAGATGCGACAAGCGGCAGAGTTAACGGGCCTCTGACTCACAGGGTTCAGGACAGAAGCTTCCCTCAGAGAGCAGCGTCACAGACTCCAGCGATGACGTCAGGTTTAGTTAACGCAGCTCAGGATGTGACAGAACATCGTCAGGATCATCCGGTCAGAGCACGCTGACGACGGTTTGAGCTGCAGAAAACAACCCGTCCGATGAAAACAGAAGTAAAATGAGGTTTTGTGGGTTTGTGATGTCCTGACCAACCACCATCACACCCGCTGAGTTTACCCAGAATGCACTTTGTAAAGTTTTCTCTGGATTTCAGGGGCCTGGAACTAAAATATTACATGAATAAAGTCACTGTAGATGAAGAGGTTCAGGTCTCCAGATCTGTTTACGGCTCAGGTGCTGCTGGACGGAGCAGGTCTGTGTTTCCTGTTTTAAATCCTCATTACTTGCTGATAGTTTCTGTGGCGACTGAGCGGCTGCCGGACATTTAATCTCGTCCTGTATTGTTTGCTCTCCTCCTCCTCCTCGTCCTCACCATGAATGAGGTGTGTGTGTTGGAGGTGAAGGATGAGGAGGAGCAACATCAGCCTCCTGCGACAGGATTAAAACGCTGCTGCTGCTGCTTCCGTCTCTTTAATACGCTCTTGTTGCCCGCTCAGCGTCGCTCAGCTGAGAGAAAGAGCCAACAATCAGCCGATATCTTCATCAAACAGTGAGCCTGGCTGTGTTTGCTGAAGGCGTTCGTCTGCAGGTCCGTTACATTTCCTCCCATCCAATAAACATTAACCTCGCTGCAGCCTCAGGACGCACAACCGACCGCTGGAGCAGCACAACAAACCCACAAACACAACCACAGACAGAACTCCACCATCAGCCCGTTCTGGTCGACAACGTCCGAGTCTAAAGACGAAGCTGTGAGCAGCAGAAACATGCAGGAGCCACAAACTGTGTCTGTTCAAAGGTCTAACTATCCCCCTGGAAGGTCTGCAGGTTTTACATCTCACCTGTAGACACTGACCTCTGTAAGAACAGCACGCTGAGATTCCTGTGGACCTGTAAAACACAAACTACATCTGAAAAGCCCCACTGACCTGAACGCAGTGCTTCAAGATTTAAAGTCTAATTTACTGATTTATTGACTGATCTGCTTTGACGGTCGACATCAACTTAATATTATGAGTCATTTAGACTTAAACGTGTTGTTTTTGTTTTCAAGATTTAAACATCGAAACAACTGAGAAACATTCAGCTGTTAAATAACTTAATTCCTTTCAAGCTGCAGCACAAACAAAACATGAAAACCTCAAAAACCAGTGAAGGAAATCTAATGAGAGCAACTTAATGGTTGTTTGTTAAAACTTGTGTTCCCAGTTATGGTAATTATGTTCATAATGCTTCTAAATTCATTTTAAATAACTAGGAGATACCAGTTGGAACACCTAACAAACTGCTGCCAGTCATTAAATAATTAAAAACATCTTTAACTGTTACTTTAACCTGTAGCTCAGCGGTTCGTTGGTCGAGTCGCCTGAACTCAAACACACTGAAGCAAACTGTCGTGTTGATGGTCTTTGGTCAGCCCAAACACCATCGTTTGCATTTCTGTTTGTGTAAAACATGACAGAAGATATTAATCAGTGCACAGAGCCATGCTAGCAGTTTCCTACTGATCCCAGTCTTTATGCTAAGCTAAGCTAACCATCAGCTGAAGACAATGAATCACGTGTCTGAGCCTCAGTCAGATCAAATGGAAATGAAGCTGCACGGCGAGATGTGAAGAGGAAACCAGGCGGTATGTAAAGCAGCAGCAGAGCTAACGGGACACAGTGGAGGCTCTGTGAGCTGGTTCTGAACCGTCACCTCAGACAGCCTCAGCATCCAGAGCAGGACTTCACACTGTGAGGCTGTTCGAACACACAGCCCAGAATCTGACAGAACCATCATTATCATCCAGTCAGCAGAGCTTCAGTGGGACACGATTCTGGGACTTCAGAGTCGCTTCAGAAAAATATCACCGTTTGATGGGCACTTGAACAACAACACGTGTTAGAGGCTCGGTTTGGGTTAAAACACAGCTCTTTAACAACACCTTTACAGCTGCTCCCTCATTTCCTGGGTTACCATGGTGACGTCAGCTTCATCCAACATGTGATTGGTTCCCTTAAAAAGGACTGACAGTAAAAGCTGATGCTCTGAAATCCAACACAGTCTGCCTTTAACAGATTCTTACATCTTTCTGAGCTCTGAGTCGTGACAGTGAAGCAAACAGATGATCTTAACTTCTACATAATTAGAGTGAAACTGTTTCACCGTTGGACCTTCACTGCGAATAAACGCCGGTATAATTAGGATTAAGGTGCAGGATGAAGGGCAACCTGTTCAACCGGTTCATTTGTGGCTTTGTGGAAATGAAAAGCGTGAAACTGTTTTATTCATCTTCTCTGTTTCTAAGAGTTGCTGAACTATTTCATGACGGTTCCTCTGCAGCTCTTTGCTTTGTTCCACATGGCTGAAGAACTTTCAAACATGAGCTTTAAAAAGTTGCAGAAATGTCGAATTTGTTGCTCTTAAAGTGACAACAAGGCTGAAAATAAGCGTATGTTTGGTTTGAATCATTTGATGGAGTCAATCAGCACAAACACAGAAAAGCACTTTGCAGCTCGTGTGTTTGTTCTTAATGAAACAGCAGCTGAGTCACACCCGGCTGAAAACTGAACAGATTTCAGACTAATGACCCACAGAAACAGGCCCCAGCACATGTTTGTGGATTGTGAGGTAAAAATAAACACTTCACACACACACACACACACACACACACACACACACACACACAGAAAACTGTCTAAACTGATGGCATCTGGCGCCTCATAAAAGTATTCAACACGCCTGTTTCGGAGGACAATTATCATACCTCAGTGTGTGTGTGTGTGTGTGTGTGTGTGTGTGTGTGTGTGTGTGTGTGTGTGTGTGTGTGTGAAGGACACACACACACCGGGCAGGTACATCAAGTAACGGCACATACCAGAAACTGGAGCTGAGACCGTTGCTGGGTTTGGTCAGATGCGTAATTACGCACAGACGCTCAGCGGTTTCTTTGTTTGGATCTTTAAGAAAAGTTTCGACGACACATGGGATATTTGGGATTTTTAAAAAAAAACCTAAACTTTTCTCGAGCTGAACGTGATCTAGACTGAAGCTCACAAGCAATGGGACTGTGTGAAAATAAGCAGAATTTAGACTTTGGGGACGGTTTCACTGTTTAGTTTCGGTGCGTAAAAATGCGTCCAAACACTGATCACGGCTGTTCCTGCTGGAACGCTTTGTCTCCAGCCTGTTGTTGAGGCTGTTTTTTCATGTCTTTAGTTTTGATTAGCTTGTTGAAGCACCTGGAAATTGGCGCCGGTTCAGTTCATCCAAACGTTCCGGCTTCAAACACCAAGAGGATGTAAAAGTCAATGATTAAAAGTTAACGGTGATGAGACGAGGAGCCACCGAGGAGAGGCAGGACGGAGGGGGAAGGGTGGGGGAGGGAGGCACGGAGCTTTAGGGTGTAGTCCGTTACTTGTTATCTGATACCGGCGTGGTCTTACAATAAAACTGCGCCGATGGCAACAATGGGGATTGTTCTCAGGAGCAGAGGCTCCAAACGCTCATTTACATGTAAACCTGAGAGACGCCGCAGCCGCGGATCAAACTGTTGTTCAGGCTGAAGTCAGAGAGCAGCTCGTTTTTAAACGTTTCTATCATCTGCTGAGTGAGGCCTTCAGGTCAGTCCATGTGCTGGATGAAGAACCAGATGATCAAAAACACAGAACAACTGATCCAAGTGTTTCAATCTGACCCACGTTCTGTTGTTTAGAGATTCAACTTTAACTTTAGTCTAAGTCACAAATCTAAGTTTTAAATACGCACAACGATCATTAAAATAACTTTCCTTCAACCAGATGTTTTGTTCAGTCAGGGCTCAGGAGTAGGCTGACCGACCCGAACCTTCATTTCAGAGAAGCTACGAGGAAGCCCGGAGCCGCCCGTCAGGGGCTGAAGGTCGGTATGTGAAAGTTTACAGGCCGTACAGCAGCTCATACCTGAACAGGTGAGCCAGGTGAGCCAGGTGAGCTGCACTTTACGCCAAGAACCCTGAAATCAGGTCTGAAGCGGTGCTAGACGGCTGAGACATGCGCAGCTCCCCGCCGGTCCCGCCGTGTGCCCGTTATTCGGTGGCCCCGTTACTCCCCCCGGGCCCCCTCCCCACCTGCCGCTCTGCTCCCGCTGGATCAGAACCGCGTAAAAGCCTCCAACCGGCGCGTAACCGGAGCCGCGCCGCTGATTGACTCACCTGGGATGTAGACGTCGCCCCGCTCATGGTCCGGCAGCTCGCTCCAGTTCCGCTTCCCCGGCGACACGTTCGCCTTCTTCACCAGAAAGGCCCTCGGCATGCTGGGTCCCGCCCCGCGGAGCGCCGGGATCAGGAAACCGGGACGCTGCTCCGAACACCTCCCGCTCGATCCGCCGCTTTCTGCTCGTTAAGTCCGCTTCCTGTCCGCCGGTTGGCCGCAGCTCCGGACAGGTGAGTGAGCTCAGGTGAGCGGGCGGCAGGTAAACGGGGAACAGCTCTGCTCCGGAATAACGGGAGTGAGAGCAGACCTCAGAGATCACACAGCCAACAGAGGTGCTCCACCGACCTGCACAGGTACTCATTTAAAAGCAGGAAACAGGCGGCAGCGCGCATGCGCGGCAGAAATAACGGTGACAACAAGCCGGGTTAGGCCTCATATACCTGCTGAACCGGTTTACCCTCAGCCAGGCTCCATTCCGCTCCAAGGTGTGGGTGAGCACGAACACAGCCCGAGTGTGAGCGTGTTACACAACAACGCGCGCGCACACACACGCGCGCGCGCGCGCTTTAACAGCATAAAGGCCAATCAGAGTTTATTATTTACCTGCAGCCAGTAAAAGGGTCCAGTCAGTCAGAGATGAGCTGACTGTTAGTCCACTGTTGAAGGGATGAAGTGTTGAAAGTGTTCAGGTTCTGGAGGATTCCTGTCATGCTCAGGAGGTACCGAACTCCAGACACTCAGCCGGTCTGATCCACAATAAGTGTGTTTACATGCACTAAAGTTCCAGATCGAGTTTCTGCAGGAATTTAAGCGCTGATAGTTCAGCAGCATCATGTTCTGTCTCCTACCAGATCACCATCATCACTGTTGTCCACAGTCTGAGGATGAAACAGAACCAGAACTGGACCCGATCAGATCACTGGATCAGACTGTTCATAAAACATGTGAACGCTGAAGCTGCTTCTGCATCTACAGAAAGAAACTACGTTCACCAGAGCTGGACGGAACCTGTACGAGACAACAGTTTGACCTCAGAGTGGACCCTGTCTGTAGATGGTTCTGGTAGGTTCTGGACATAAAATGGTCCTTCCATCGTCTAGAACTGGTTCTGACCAACCACCACCACACATGCTGATATGAGCCTGGAACATTTACCCAGAATGCACTTTGTAAAGTTTCCTCTGGTGACTGATCAGAACCAGAACCACATCCAGGGTACCACTGATTGTTTCTCTGCTGCCTCCAGTTAACCATCGAACACCATCAAAGGCTCCAAACTCCTGAAGCTCATCAGACAGAAACACAACATCTGGATCGGACACGTTTCTGCCTCAGTGGGACAACAAACTGGAAAAGTCTGTGGTTCTACTGGTTTAGACAGTTTACTGTCACGTTACAGGTTGTCCCCGTTTGGTTCAATTAAATATAATAAAAATAAACGTCAAACATTTCAGTCACATGTTAACTTGTTCTTTTATGTTTGACTGTAAAATGAGTTTTATTGTGTTTGAATCAGTAAAACGTGTCGTCATTTACAGATATTTCCTTTTGTTTGACAGAAACAGTTCATTTATGTTCAGTTAAAATACAGATAATATCTAATGAAATCAGAATAAAGTGTTATTTACATGATGACTGTCAGAAACAAACAAAACAAACAAAACAAATAGAAACAAAGCTAAACTCTAAATAACATCCACATCAAACATCAGTAGTTTTAGTTTTTTGGCTGAACTCACTGAAACAAGAACCAGGATTACTAACAGGTTTCTGATGTGTATGATTTTGACAGCATCCCATAATATCGCTAACATATGTTTTGTGACACATTTTCAGTCTTTTTATGGGATTTTGTTTATTTTTTAATGTGCAGGTTTGTTTTCTTTCCCTCCAGAGGAAACAACGATTCGTCTTTTAAAATCCTGTTTCTTCCCTCGACAGCAGCTTCATGTTTGTCTGTTCAAACGCTAGAAGACACGCTGCGGTCAAAGAGATTCAACAAATGAGCATTCACAGCCGGAAAACCACAGATTAGCTTCTCTGTGGTTTAATTCTGTCAACTTGGAATAAACTGAACGGAGCCATGAAATGAGAACAGTGGTTTATCGTTTCCAGCTCTGATCTGAAGAAAACATCTGCTCACCAGGTCTGGATGCTGAACTATGATCTGTTTTCATCAGATAACATCCATCCATCATCTCTACACCTTAATCCTCACTGGGGTCATGGGGGGCGGAGCCTATCCCAGCTGACTCAGGGTGAAGGCAGGTTCACCTGGACAGGTAACCAGTCTATCACAGGGCTACACTTAGAGACAGACAACCAAGCACACTCACATTCACACCTACGGACAATTTACAATCACCAATTAACCTCAGCATGTTTCTGGACTGTGGGAGGAAGCCGGAGAACCCGGAGAGAACCCACGCTGCACGGGGAGAACATGGAGACTCCACGCAGGAAGATCCCGGGTGTCCTCACCGGGACGCCAACCGGCGACCTTCTAGCTGTGAGGCCACGGTGCTGACCACTGAATCACCTGCAGCCCGTTTTAAACCAAATAAAATGAATGAAATATTAAAGTCTGTCTGTTTTTCTGACTCCCATCTGCATGAACTCTCCTTGTTCTTTGGTTTCATCACATGTTTTATTGTCTCTCTTTCATAAACACAGAAACAAGAAGGAAAATGGACCTTTTTTAATGAGTTCTTCATAAACCCACCACACACACCTGGTTTGTTTGGTCCTAACTATCAGTTATAGTCGTGATAATTCATGTGTCCAAACTATTGTTATCATTACAGAAGTGGTTGTGATGTCCCGGCTGGTTCGTGGTGAGGAGACTAGTTAGTAGCTGGTTAAAGGCTTCGTTCAGGAGGACTGAGTCAGAGTTAGCTGACCTCTGAGCCCAGTGCAGCTGTTTGATGTGGAGCAAAGCCAACAGTTTATCAGCTGATGATCAGAGGCTGAAGCTGTTGAAGCCTCTAACCAGCCGTGGCTCCGTGTGTTTGTGCTGTGAGCTGAGGAGTGGTGCAGGTGAGCGGGTGGTGGGTGAATGAATGAACGGTATGCTGCCGGGGCGGTCGGAGGAGTCGGACGAGCTGCCTCCTCCTCCTTCCTCCTCTTCTTTCTCTTCCATCTCCTTCCTAACTGTCACCGATACCGAAAACCTTTCTGTCGCATCAAACTTAACCGTCTTTGTTCTTCAGACCAACGTGTCGTCCGTCAGTGACTCAGGACTCAGAAACACGAGCTTCCACCTGCTCAGAGGACTGCATTCACCTGGATAAGCAGGATTCAGAAACCACTTCCAGTTTTTGTGCTTCACATCAAAAAAGAAAAAGAAATCACATAAAAAGAATCTGGCAGCAGAGTTCCCAGAAAAATACTGTAAAAAAGGGTAAAAGGAGATAATTATCTGCAAATAAAGACATTTTTATCTGATTTAAAGAAAGTGAAACTAAACTAGGCAAATAAAACAAATGAATATTTATTTTGCTGTTTTGGCCTGTTGTTGTTTGATTGATTGTTTTACAGTTAAAATGTTTTTTAAAAAGTATAATATTGTAATCCTCAAAATACATAATTTATCTGTAAAAAAACAACTAATTTTTGGTATAAATACAGTAAAAACAAACAAAGATGTAAAAAGCCAGATGTATGGTGTGGACGTTATTTATCAGTCTCAGCCTGTTTGTTTAACAGTCAACACAGTAAAAAGTTTTTTTTTTTTATTTTAGGAGAAAATCAGTAAAATAACATTTATAAAATGATTTACCATTTTTTAGTTTTTCTTTCTATGATGCACTGACACGACGGTCAAACCTGTAAAGAATTTAAAGATCTGATGATGAATCTGTGATTGAATCAGTCTGCAGATGATCAGGAAGAGTCTCAGTTAGACGGCTTCATGTTTCACTGTGGAGGCTTCAGGACGTCCTTCAGCAAACAAATGAGACAGATTTAGTTTTTAGAAAAACCTTCTTCATTCAGTTCTGTTGGGTTTCTACAGAACCAGCTCACCACACATCATCTTAAACTGGATTCCCTTTAAGAGAGCAGCCAGTGGGTCGGAACAAAAAGCTTCCTCCAGAACCAGAACCAGGCTCAAGGGAGGCCGGTCGGGCTCAGGGTGGGGATGAGGCTCCGCTTCGTTGCCTCCACATTCCTTCAGTGTGACCACAGAACCGTCTTGGTTCTGTGGATTACAGCCGGTTGGCACCTGACAGCTGCTGTCGGTTCCTCCTCCTGGAGCTCCTCTGCAGCCTGCAAGCAGCTCCAGATCCGGACCAGCTGAACCTGATCGACGGCCTCCATCCTCCTCTGCTGCTCACCTCACATCACCTCCGTATTGATCACAGAGGAAACAGACGTGGTGGAGCCTCCTGGTCCATCTGAGGCTCACCTGGTCCATCTGAGGCTCACCTGGTCCATCTGATGGTCACCTGGCCCGTCTGAGGCTCACCTGGCCCACCTGAGGCTCACCTGGCCCGGCTGAGGCTCACCTGGCCCACCTGAGGCTCACCTGGCCCA